GCATTATGCATCTATGATGTTGGCCTATGTTCAATTAGATAAAAGATAATTTTACATTATTTAATCAAATGCTATTATACGGGCTTGATGACTTTGTGATCTTCTGTAAGAAGTTTTTCATTTAGCTTGTGTGAATTTCTCTTACAAAGAAATTCAAAGTAGGCGACAAATAAGTTCTTGTAGATTATTTTTGTTGTGTTGGATGTATGTTATGCACTTGTTACGGTGACATAACAAGGCTAAGGGCTTCAATGTTTAATGAATTTCTCTAGCATCTATGTTGGTGGCGTCTTCATTGGTAGGCCAAAGAATAGTTTTTATTCATGAATTCTCTTGTGGTTTGCAAACTGTAGAAGGATCACAATTATTGTACAACACCTTTTGATCCGCTTATTCCCTTTTCTTTATTCCCTTTTGTTTTGGTTGTATGTTCGTACTTTAGAATACGATAATGCAAATGTTGTTTTCTCTTGTCAAGAGCAAAGGTGCATGAGTCAATGTACTTCCGGGCCTCATTGCTTCAAGTCATTATTTGACATGGTATAAGCCACTGAACCATTCAGAAATCTCTTGCTCATGTGGGTGTTTTAATACTCTTTTAGTAATGATGTAAGGGATATACTTCACTCTACAACCCATCAATCTTATATTTGGTGTTGATCTTTTATTTGAATAGGGTTCATAAGATGAGTTTCATTCAGACACGGGAAATATATATGATGCTTGAGAATATGATAAAGGTTAAAGATCAAGAGCGATGTACGTAACACGAAATAGTTATTGCTTGACTTGGACATGAAAGGAAAACAAATGGAATTCTCGCTACACATTGAAAGATCCTTCACCAAAAAATAACAGAATTTCAATGAGAATAGCTCTCTCGCTTGATTGCTTATATATACATTTTACATTATTCACTCAACGATAAAACCTGCCTACTTAAAAAGTTGAGCAAAGTTCATTGGACTACTTAAGGGGTGTCATGAAAAATATAACATTTTCACTTTTGGTCCTTAACTTGTATTGTACCTTCTTTCTGTCTTTTTTTTTTTTTTTAGTTTTTGTTGTTTAATGGAAATAAACTAGATCTTGAGACACATATTCAAAATTTTCATTCTTCAACAAATAAATCTACAAAATAAGAAGTTCAATTAAAACTATAATTGATAACAATTCACGTGCAACACATGTGTACACCAACTAATTATTATTAATAAGGAAAGATAAGCTTGTTGCTTTTGCTTTCCTTATTGTCATATTGGGTACCATCACAGACAGAACCATGCGTAACCCCTTAAGGTTTTCAAAATTTCATATTTTTCTCATAAACAAAACTATATACATCTATAATAATAAGATAGAGTCCATTTTGAATCTTCAAAGTTGGGAAAGCAAAAGGACGGCTCAGATTTCATCTGCTTTTATTTTAATGGTTCACATTCCATCCAATTTAATCCAATGGCCTATAATTCATCTATTTTGATCAAATGGCCCACAATTCGTCCCAAAATCCCACCCAAAAATTAAACCCATAACAAAAAAAACCCCAAAATCTCCGACACACATAACTCACAACCCCCGCTGAATTATTTACCAAACTACCGTTCTTTTTAAACAATTTTGTTAAACTATGATAGTTTTTAAAAGCGGAGTCAACAAAAATGTTTTTTGTTGAAAAAATGGAGTTAGTACATCCACTTTTAAAGGGCTTTACTTTTGCATCATACGAGAGTTTTTAAAAGCAGTTTTTTTGAATCCCCTCTCAGTTAAAAGCAGGTTCAACGAATCCGTTTTTAAATAACAAAAAAACTATTAAAAGCGGATTCAATAATTCCGTCTTTATGAGAAAGCAAAATAATCAATTATGTTATTCACTTAGCATTTTAATGAAGCGGATTCTTTAAACCTGCTTTTTCGTCGAATATAAACTCCCCTCCAGACAACCCTCTATTATGCCTTCGTCATTTTTACCTCCTCATTCGATTTCCCCTTTTCCCTTCCCTCCTCTATCTCAAATTATGTGATCCCTTCCTTCTTTCATTTTCCTCCTCCCCCATCATTCTGTGAGATTCGACTGTGAATCCAAAAAGCTGAGTTTGTGTGTCGAATCCAAACCTAATCCCTTAAAGCATTTTCTTGTGAAAACCAAAAGTTGCAGATCTTGTGAGCCCTAGGTTGGCATTCTTCGTCTACTTAAACCATGTGAGTTCTTGACCCAATTTCAAACAATTTCAGTGTTTTTTGAGCTCTCTCTCCTTCCCCATTTCTAAAACACAAATCAATGCTTATATAGAGGTCGGATTTGGCTGAAAGAAATCGTGATATTGCGACGAGGCATTTTTTGAATCCAATTTTTATTTTTAGCGATTAAGGCAAACAAACAGGTATCAAATTATGTTTGCCCCAATATATGTTGTTTTATTTTGGGCTTCCCTCCCCTTCCCCCACATTTTTCTCTCTTCCCTCATTGTTTTTTATCTTTGTGTTTTTCTGGTTTTGATTTTGCTGCAAGTTTGTTTGATTTAAGAATGTTTTTCAGGCTTATTAGCAAGACATTTATATTGGTTTTTATGCTAGCACTACATTTGATATTTTGAAAATTTAAGTAATATTAGATAAATGGTTGGTGAATGGTCTTAGACATGAGAATGAATTTTCCCTTGGTTTCTCTATACATGTTTAGAGGCTACTCTCCTTAGGGTCCGTTTGTTTAGCGGGATAATGATATAAAATATAAGAAAGAGAAAATTTTAAAAAATTTCATGTGTTTAGTTAACATGAAATAGAAAATGATGGAAAAAATAATTTTCTTCCATTCTTATATTTTCTCACAACTAACCTACTTTTTTTCTTGTAAAAAACACAAGGAAATGTAAGAAAGTTGTGATATTTAATTAACTTCCAATGTTACCCTTATTTTTCTTAAAATATTTTGTTGGTTATTAATTTTTAAAAATCTTAGTATGAATTTGATTAACCATATAATTTAGTTCTGAAAACTTGGTGCTAGTGCTTGTCCCAGAATTAGGTAATGAGCCACTTTTTTAAAATTTTAAAATTTTTAATTATAATAAATATTTTTTACTTATTTAGATCGATTTAATATACTTAAGGGTAATTTAGACAATTAAAAAAAATCTTGTTCCTTTCTTTCAAATAATAGACTGAAATTTTTTTAAAACTTTCTCGCAATTTTTTCATGCTAAGCAAATACTTACATGAAAATATATTTTCTTTCATTTTCTTTTCTTTTACTTTACTTTCTATCATTTTCTCTTGTTTTCATTGTTTTCTTTCTAATTAAACGGATCCTTAGAGATTTTGGGGGGTATAACTATAAGCGCAATTTATAGTTATGATCATTGGTGGTGGTGACGGCTTTGGTAGTTCTCGTATAGTTGGTGTAAGTATATGTCCATGTGTGTGTGTGTGATAGAGAGAAGAGAGAAAGAGTAAATATTGAGTGTAACAATTATATGATATCATTGTTAACACATGGTATCACAAATGAACAATAATTTATTATGTAAGATTTGTGAATTTTCATTATTTCAAATGATAGCTATATGATATGGTGAATTTTGGAAAATTATAAAAAAGTGGGATCTACAAAATTTATATGATATTTCATAATTAACTGGTTATACAATGTGTTAAAGATGATATAGTATTACCGTTACATTAAATTATCTTCGGAGAAGAAGATGAGGAAGATAGTTGTTTGACTACTAGATTAAGTTTTTTCAACTAGAAAATTGATTTGAGACATAATTCTTTTACCCCCCCCCCCCCAAAAAAAAAAAGTGTTGGTATTTTCTAACAAGATTTTTGCTAACACTATCTTATTCGATGTGGAAAGAAGGCTTATTATTACAACTTTGAAATAATAAGGATGTATTTATGAAAATACTTATCTGTTTGTTTGAGATTTATAATACATATACAAGTCCAAAAAAATGTTAGTCATGGATAGCAATATGAATAGGCATGAGGTAGAGGCATAATACAAAAACTTGAATGAAGGTATAACCATATTACAAAAACTTGAAAACTTGAATGAAGGTATAACCATATTTCAAAAACTTGAAAACTTTAGGTTGAGAAAAAAAATGAAAACTTGAAACCTAATGACTATATTACAGCATTACATGAGGAGGCATATTGCAAAATATATGTTTTAAATTGTGTCATTAAAATTATCCCTATTGAAGCCTAAGAAAATAAGAGGCATATAACTAAATGAATTTTTACAAACTGTACTTTTGAATGAAGGTATAAAATGTTGGGAAGACTATCAATCATAATGTGTTACTAGGGAGGTAATATTGTATATAGTGAAAAAGGTGTATCATACAATGGCAAGCCTCAACAGTGTATTAAGTTAAAACACAAAACCAAATATGAGGAATTGTTGAAAATTGTGTCTACCATCATGCAGCTGGATAGTTCAACACCACAACTAAAGATGATTTATTGATTTCCATCATTTTTTGGGGATCACATGCAAAAAGTACTTATAAATTGAAATAAAAAACGATGATGGGATGGCGGCGATGCTAGATGTTGTCTTTGAGAACCCAACATTTAATAGTATTGACTTATATCTAGAGACAAAGGAAATCATAGATCTGCCTCAGACCATGGTAAATAAGTATGGCCCATACATCCAATTGCTTACTTAGGAGAGCATGAATTTATCGCACAATTTGTCTACAATTGGTCTTTCTTATTATGCTGAAGGGACAAGTCAATATGTGCATGGCTTTATGGCAGACGATGTTTATGCTGTAGATTTCAATACAGACCATGGAACTAGAGATGATAAGCCATATGTTCCTAAATTAAAAATTGGACCAGGTACTAAGACGTTGTCGATGTCGATGGGATACACCACATCTTGTTCAAATTTTGGCATCCAACCTCAGCCTTATACATGTACCAATGCCATTAGACAACTTAGTCTGATAATGATTTGGTTGTGTGCAATGGAATGCGTGCAGTTGATCATGCCAAAGACATAGATAAGAAAGACGAGGAGATTGAATTGATAGCCGACATGGAAAACATTGATAGTGACGGTGACGAAGTTGGCCTACCAGATGCAATGGATGACAATGTTTGCTTCCATGGGATAGTGTCTACCTTATTCACTGATAATGAATTGTCACATGGTTCCAGCCTAAACAATGCATCCCGTACTCCCATATGGAATCCTCGCCAACCTGAATTATCCAAAGGACTAATCTTCAAGTCAAAAACAGAGTTGTAGGATGCAATGAAGATTTATTCTATTACAAACCATGCCCAATTCAAGGGTGCTGAGAGTGAAAGAAAATTATTGGCTTTGCGGTGGAAAAAATACCAATTTGGGTGCAAGTGGAGACTCAGGGCTTGCCAAAAGATAATGCACAGGATATTTCAAATTACCAAATATAAAGGTCCTTACACTTATCTACATGCGTTAGCCAACCAAAACTATGTGCAATTAGATTCCAAATTCGTTGCATGACAAATTCAATGGCTCTTGAAAGTTGATCTATCTTTAAAGGTTGCTGTGATAGTAGAACATATTTCAAATTTGTATAAATGTGATATTTCGTATAGGAAGGCATGGATTGCAAAGCAGAAAGTGATAGCTAGGCTTTTTGGCAACTGAGATGAGTCATATGTTTTTTTTTTTCGAAATTTATGAGTGCGTTGCAAAAGTATAATGAAGGCACAATAGTTAGATGACAATTGCTTAACCTTGGGAATGATACGACAATGTTTGACAAAGTGTTTTGGGCATTTCAACCATGCATTGAAGGTTTCAAATCTTGTCATCCACTTATCAGTATTGATGTCACTTTCCTATACGAAAAGTACAAGAGAAAGTTGTTAACTGCTACAGGCCTTGATAGGAATCATAAGATATATCCACTCACCTTTGCAATCGTGGATGAGGAAGTATAAGCACATGTGGGTGGTTTCTTTGGACACTCAAGCGGCATGTTATTGGTGACCGAAAGGGCATACGCTTGATATCTTATCACCATCAAGGTATAATTTAGTCAGCTACTGCTCATGATTCTAGATGGCAAGTGCCTTATGCATATCATCGATTTTGCTTACGTCATGTGCGCATCTTGTATGGAATGCTGATAGTGCACATTAGATCCACAAGTATAACAAGACTATGGAGGAAATCAATGAACTTTTTCCTTGAGCTGTTTAGTTACCAAAACAACAATGGACACTTGCACATGATGGTGGACGATGTTTATAGAGTTATGACAACTAATATTTCTGAGGTGTTGAACTTTGTCAAAAAAATACGAGACATCTATCAATCACGGCATGTGTCAAAACGATATTTTACAAACTTGTTTAGTATTTCAATGACATGTGTGGGTTGGCGTCAGATAGCGGTTGTTCGTTCACTCCCAATATCGTGGAGAAGATATTGTGTGTTGATTTAAAATAGGGGGTCAGAATGTCACCACATTCAACTGAAGCACGGGGGAGGCATATGTTATCAGTAAACATGGTAATGCACATGCATTAAATAATATAGAACACACATGTATATGTGAAAGTGGAACATCTACAAAATGTCGTGTTCTCATGCGATGACTGTTTTTGTCTATGTCATATATATTTTTTCAGTGTTATCAATGTCATATTTTATTTTGTTTATGTCATATATATTTTTTCAGTGTTATCAATGCCATATTTTGACCTTGTCAGTCTTTAATCATATCCTAACGTATGAGTACTACCTATTGAACAGACTAAACCTGTGAGTCTTTAATCATATTCTACTGTATCCATATTGCCGATTGAATTGGCTACACTTGTCAGTTTCAGTGTGTAGTCAATGTAGGTGTTTAGTCATCTTGTGTTTTTAGTACAATAAGTGACTATCCATCTCAGTGTTTCCAGTGGTTATTGAACTTTTTTTTTTTATCAATGTTGTGTATATTCATTACTTTTGTGTATATATACGTATTTTTTCACAATGTAAATCTTACAGTGAAATGCCAAGAAGGTCATAATTCGGGTCTTCGGGCCGAACGACTGATGGTTCATCCTTGAGCAACAATTGCCAACATCATGCTGCACAACAGGATCTAAGGTTGTTGTCATTCAATTTACTAGAACTTGGTAACTACATAGATCCTAGTAGTGTAAAGTAGTATAAAAACTTGCATGACTTTCACAATTAGCCAATCAACATTCATAACCTTTTCACATAAGCCGGTCATGTGATTATCGGACCTACAACAATTGTTTCACCTTTAGAGTTTTATTACCACCTACGGGGACCAAGGTGGTTGAAATCTCATTTCAAGCACTTTGTGCTTGAAGTATACTTCCGTTGGCATGGATTACGAGTGTCATAGGCACGTTCAACTAAAATGTACGTGGAATGGTGCACAGACAACTATGATGATATCATAGCAAAACTTGAATATGAAATTGATCAAATGCAACGTTGTCTAGATTGATTTCACTTTATCAGTAATACAAAGATAGAGCATTCACATCCTGCTGAGACTATTAATGCTATACTATCCGATCTATTACTAGATTCTGACCATGAACTTTCTAACTTCAACGAATCAATTGATGATGAGTATGAAAAATTTCTCTTTGTTAGTCTATGCGCACGTGACAAACGACTATGTGTTCTAAATATGATCCTCATTAGAAAATATTATATTGTTGTATTTGCGTTGCATTTTGTATGAACATGATTATTTGTATACCTATTTTAGATAAATAAATTAACTATTATGTTATTTACATTTTAGATTAACTTGATTGCGGAATTTTTTTTTCAAATAATTTACCACTCACTTTTTGAAAAATTGCCAAAAAAAAAATATTACCCCTCACTTCGTGTCATCCATAAGAATGTAGATATATTATTATTTTGTGTAATCTTTTAAAAAAAAACCCAAAGGATGTTGGACTGTAGAAATAGTAAAGTTGGAAAATACTATTTCTACCAAAAAACGAAGTTATTGAATCTATTTTATTAAAAGCGGACTTGTCAAATACACTTTTAATGTAGAAGTGGATTCATGTTTCTATTTAGTGGACGTGGTTATTGGCAAGAACTTATTGAATCTATCGTTTGGTAAATCCGTTTTCCATGGTCAACACAAATTTGTTACACAGTCTCATTCTCTTGAAAGCGTGGATGGAGATATCGTTTTTCATTTAAAAGTAGATTTAGTAATTATGCTTTCATTACAAAAACGGATTTACTGAATCTGCATTTTCATTAAACGTGGTATCTCCATCCATGCTTTCTTTTATTGTTTACACGTAAAGTAATGAAAATGGATTTATTAACATTGTTTTTTTAGTAAAATGCATTGATTGACTCCGCTTTTGAAAATTGTTGTTCTTTAGTAAATAAGTTTAAAACTGTCATATTTTGGTAAAATTGTTTAAAACTAACGACAGTTTGGTAAAAAACTCTAACCCAACTGTAGCTGCCTCTCTCTCTCGACGCTCTTCTTTCTCTCAATCAATGGCCTCTCTCTCTCTAGCTTTTCTCTACCATGGCTCACCCCAACAACAGCCAGCCCACCTTCGACGACCACTTAACCCAGGTGATCTCCTCTCTATTGCTCTCTCTATCTCTCTCTCCTTCACATACACACAAACACTCGACACACACATAGAGGTTTGTAAATAATTGATTATCTGATAATGAGCAAGGAATATCCATCTTTATGCTAAACAGGATGTATTGAGCTCATAATTTATTAGATACTTTTTATAAATGTTAACTAAGTATCATAAGTAAATTGCTCTCAATTGTTCAAGTATTTGATAACCAAAGTCATTATTTGGTAAATGATCACTATGAGTCAGACTCAATAGAATTTGATAAATCATTTTTCTGTCATTAAGGTGGAGAACTGAACGAAGAATTCACTTTTTTTTATCATCAATCGAATCATTGTTCGAGGGTGATCAAGTTGGATGGTTAATTTGGGAGTTAATTGGGGTTTATCATTAAATGGGGGTTGCAATATACTTTTTTAGTGTTTTTGATTACATGTTGGGTGTTAATTTCATGCAATAATATTTGTAGGGTTTTTGAATGTTAGGGTTTTTTAATCCCTTATTTTCAATACCATATCTCCACTTTTTATCCTATAAAAAAGTAACCCGTGTAAAATTCTCTCTTTTTTTTTTTTAACAATCAATGATTATAAATCATTCAAACCAAAATCAATGATTGGAGATCAATTTCTGTAGCATATCTCTACGTTATTGTAACCTTATCCAGGAATTCCTATAATCGTGCAATTATGTATAAGGAATGTTAGCATCAAATGTTTGTTTAAAAAAAAAACAAGTTTTGTTGTGGGGGTGCAGTTCTGATAATGGACTACAGGAATCAATTGCTTGCATCTCCAAACGTACATTTAGCTTTCAACCAATCAGGGTAACACGTTAGTGTAACTCAAATACGAAAATTTCAGGGATTGCTCTCTCAAAGTTTCATGTTCGAGTCTTGCAAGAGAATCTAGAATTATCAATGTGTAGTCTACAATGATTGCATTCATCTCGAGTTTGCATTGTATCCACAAGTTCAAATGGTTTCTATTTCTAACAGTTCTCGATAAAAATAAAAAAATAAATAAAAAAATTGGTTACTTACTTTGTTTAAACTCGATAGAAACTCCATCTAGCCTTTTAAGTAGAGTAAAAAGTGATCTGAGTGTTTCTCAGTTCTTTAATGTGCATTGTTGCTGAATTAGCATTCCTTTTCACGAGCGATCAATTTACATCTTTTGCTTGTAACTTGAACAGTATACCCTGAAGTATGTATAGCAAACGGGCGGTTAAAACTTGAAAACCCACCAACTGTGACAAAATAATAATAAATGAGCACTTAAAACATAAGAATACCAACTAATTTCCACTTGAACAGTTAAAACAACACAATTAGCTGACAATGCATTTTCAAAGCTTGTTTTCTTTACATAAGTGCTGCACAGATTTACACTCCAACAAAAAAATGCTAAATTATTCATCACTCATGGATAATCACCGATACATATTTGGGGTGCGTAATTTTGCACCAAGGAATGTGCATAGCCTAGAAAATGACACGATTGCTTTGCTTACCAAAAATGCCGGGGCCATAGGTGGATTTGATCATATCTACAAGGAGGGGAAATTGCAAGGATGCAAACAAGATCACAGGTAGACTTGTCAATGCAGTCACGGGAGCAAGAATCCATGTTTTTTTATCTCCAAAAACAATATAAAGTGTGGCTCCAAAGGCTACCATCATAAATATTATGGAAAGCAATAGGGTCACAAGACCTATAGTCAATCTCTTGGGTAGCGCATAGAGAAAAGAGCAAGTGCATCTGATATGGCAAACACTGTGAAGGCTTTTTCTTGGGAGAAAACTGGAAGGCCAGCACCATTGTTTCCACCTGGTACAGTAATGGCAGCAGCGAACACAATTGTAACAATTAATGCTGCTACAATTGCGCATGAATTGGATGTGTCTTTCATCCATTGCTCTCCTTCTTTAACTAATTCCTCATGTGTCTCTGTAAATAACATCATTGGTGTCTTCTCATCGTTGTTTATCCGTCCCCCATCTGGAACCATAGTAAAATTTTCTACTTCCTACATAATTAGTGATTTTTGAATTAGAAAGCAAGTCTGCAATGCATTGAGTGATTCTTTATAAATATCCAAGGCAACATTTCTTTTGTAGGTATCATTACTCCATAAATTAATAGTTAAATGATATGCACATAAAATGCCTAGTAGAATTTAACAAAATAAATTGCAATGACACTCCCTAATAAATTTAGATTTATCATGTTGATACTTCAGACATTTCAAAGGTTTAACAACACCACCCTCTCCTTGGAACAAACATTAGCAATGTTAACAAAAATGGCTTGCATCATCAAAATTCATCAAAAAATGCCTATTTCTTCATTTAAAATACATTAACTCCAAATCCAAACTTAGTATTGAAACAAAATAATCCATATCCAAACACCTTCTTCCTTTCTCTCTCTCTCAACACCCCCCCCCAGGGGGGCGCGTGGCATACACAAGGATATACAGCAACACACAACATAATAATGGTGGTGTTTTTTCCCTTGAGTTGCAATGTTTGAGCTCATACAAAATTGGGTCTCGGTGTCTTGGAAACTCTCAAATCCACAAATTGGTGGATGTGGTTGGGATTGCACAGAAGTAGATGGCTATAGATAGGTAGTTAGAGACAGGGAGTGGGAGGGGGAGGAGGAGAGAGTCTAGAATAAATGCGTTCGTACTTGTGGTCTTGGTTCTGGCCTTGTTCTCAACTTTGATTAATTAGTTGGCTATGTTGTTGGGCTTAGATTGGTCTCAATATAGTAATGTAGATTGAAAGTCAGAAATGTGAAGGTTTTGATAAGGTTTGAATTTTAAAATCTTGACTTTTGTCTTTGAGATAAAGTCAACATCATAAATGGGGTCTAGAATGATGGTAAATTTGTGATTTTTTATGATTTAATTTTTTATTTTTGATGGTTAAGTTTTTTATAAAGATCCACAACAAAAGTGGGTTGTGGTGGTTTTTTTGGTTGGTGGAGTCATAGGCTGGAGGGGTTGGATTGACTATTGATTTGTGATGGTAGAAAGGAGTGGTTGTTGTGAGATTGGAGGGAGAATTGTTGCGGCTCACAGAGGGAAGGGTTTGATTGTTGCTCTCTCTCTGTGCTTTCTTTTTGTCAAATAAAAGAATTGACCAATCAAATTAGGGGTAAATAAGTAATTTCATCCCAATCATTTATGTCAGCCAGGATGTGATCAGATAATGAACTCATATATAAGGATTTGTCATTGAATTTAATATTATAACAACTTAGTCCAACTGAGACACCCAGTATACAGAGAAACATTACTATGCTTATCGCTATAATGTGAAAATATGTGAATCAATTGCTTTGAAGTCATAGGCAAGTGTTAAATGCACTACATGGTATTGTTTTGTCAAGTCTAAGTTTATTTACCTTGCCTACACTGATATAATATGTTTGTTTCCATTGATATGGAGATATGAACTAGGTGACATTCGATATGTATGCTAAGACAAACAGCAGCATGAGCCATAAGTGAGTTAAGATACTACCTAAATTTGTATGATGGGTTTGTTAATATGAATCTACTATGTGAGTTTCAGGAAAACGAAGATCTGAAGCCTTGAAGATACATATTAAGGATATGTTTAATGAAGCCTTATCTCTAATTTTTCTTCTGCTCATATAATCCAATAACCTATGAGCTTATCATATCAACAAGGGAGGCTAGACACCAACCACTAAGGAGCATTGTTCAATAATCACATCTACTTAGCACAGTTAACCAAGCTACGCCATGTAGGGCAACGCTTGCTTAAGCACAATGGAAATGACATAAATATATTCTATTCCTATTATAAGAGATTCATTCGTTACCTTAAACCACTGTAATTCAAGCTGAATCTGTAGAGCTGCACCAGCAGCACGAGCTCTGAGATTTAGTTTCTGTTGACTTTCCAAACGACCAGCCAAATGTAGACCATTATTCATTCTGTTATCTACTGTGGAGACAAATAGGTTGCCAAATTCCTTGAATTGATAAACCAGATTGAAAATATTTTCACGACGATTTGCAATTGCAAGATGGAAAATCGTCTGGTTAAGCTCATCTTTAAGATAAATTGAACCAGGAAATGAACTTAAAATCACTTCAACAACTTCAAGAGCCCCAGTAATTGCTGCAACTTTTAGTGAAACTGCAAATATTGATGCAGCTTTTGAGTAATCCAATTTCACAATTTCCATACAAAGGAGTTTCACAAGTCGAACTACTTGATGATGTCTCACTTTTATCTCTTGGATGTGCTTGATCTGTGGCACTGCAATCAAATGAACTTAAGGCAAGATATCAACAATATTTAATGTGGATATGAACATGAAGTAGCCATTAAACCGTTACATACCTAATTTTCCTGTAAGTTTCCAGAATTTTGAATGCAAATTTTGCACCACTGTACACAACCATAACCACCAAGAATTAAATCGTTTGCCACAAAGAAAACAAAAAATTCGTATGTACCAAATCTAGTGGAAGACTTTAGTAAACAAATCTCCAGAATACAATTTTACCATGTGTAGTGCATAGTCTTCCACAAGGGAAATAAAGTAATGTCGAGCCAGCTAACTTGAACTATGAGACCCTGAAAATAGCTAGTTTTGTCCAAGCCCTGGTCCCATAATAACAGATTTGAACATACTACGGTGCTCAAATCAACATGATTATGGACTACAACAGCTTGACGTTAGATCCTTTTGCAGATCAACTCCATCGCCTTCAAAAAGCCACATAAACTTCATGTAGTTTGTGGATTAAAATGCATAATTAACGCTGTTAAGGGAAAGACCCATAACCCCGCTTCTTCTCCAACAGCTCCCACTTTCGCTTCTCAAAATCGAGTGAAACAAAAAATAATCATCTTGTGCATATCAAAATATGCTCCTGCGCAGATCTCATCCTCACCTGCATCCACCAAACTTCTAGAATTTTTGACCCAGTGTTATTTAAGGCGTAAAGCAAACTGAAGCGACCAAGGCTCCTAACGCCTAGGCAAGAAGCGAAGCGAAACGCTTTACCGAAGCGAAGCGAACAATTAAAAAAAAGTAAATATTTTAGTTTAATTACTTCTAAACATCAGCATTCAGCATTACAGCACTATCACACTACAATCAAAGGAACAAAACAGTACAGGAAATCAGCATTCAGCAAAATCAGCACTATCAGCAAAAAATCAGCACATCAATATTCAGCAAAATCAGCACTATCAGCATTCAGTATTACAGCACTATCAGCAAAATTAGCTATTCAGAATCAGCAGCATTAAAATAAACAATCAGAATTAAAATCAGCAGCTATTCAAAAATCAGCAGCATTAAAATCAGAAAGCAAAAAAAACAGAAAGCCAAAAAAAAACAGAATCAAAAAAAAAAAAACCAGAATTAGAACCAGAAAGAAAAAAAAAAACAGAAGCAAAAAAGCAGAAGCAAAAAAAAGGAGAAAATAAAAAGAAGAAGAAGCAAAAAGAAGAACCAGAAAGAAGAAGCAGAAAAAAAAACAGAATTAGAGAGGAAGAAGAGAGAAGAAAAAGAGGAGACAAACCTGGACCAACGAGGAATGAGATGCAGCAGCAGTCTTCGTCTCTGACTAGTGAGCAAGGAACATTACAGCAGCAGTGATCGCCTGACCAGAGAGGAAGGAGCAGTAGTGATCGCCTGACCAGAGAGGAAAGAGCAACAGCAGCGATGGTCTGATCCTGAAAATTAGGGTTTGAGTTTTATATTTATTGGATAAGTGGGTAATTGAATGTATTGGCATCTTATAATTTTTTTTCCAATTGTCCCAATCCAATAGTCCACAATAAAAATAAAACAATCCAACGGTCCACAATAAAAATAAAAGACTACTTCGCCTCACATGACTAAGGCGTTCGTTTTTTCGCCTTTTGCTTAAGCGCAAGGCGCTCGCTTTTTTCGCTTCAGTCACGTTCGCTTGGCCTGAGGTGTTCAAGGTGAGATATCTTCGCTTCGTTTCGCCTCGCTTCTTAGGCGAGCGCCTAGGCGCGCTTTTCAAAACACTGTTCTGACCAATAAATATTATTTTTTGAAAAAAAGGTAGCAACCAAATGTAGCTGAGCGGAAGCTAACCAAGAGCTTTGCACAATATAGGTTTTTGATTCTGCCAACAAATCCCCACTCTCCATAATTCACGACAACTTTCGAACATCTACAATCAAAACTTGAAAAATGAAATAGTTGGAAAGTGAATCAAATCAACCCACTGGAAATTGTATTTGATCCACTACAAATCAAATTCTATCAAAAAACTAATCAAATGAAATCGAATTGAAATGGAAACGCACTATATTGCAACCAAAATAGAATAGAGGAAAAAAAGCATATGAATCGAAATCACAATCAAAAAAGCAGTTAACCCCTAGTCTATTCTGCCATAGCCAACTTCACTCATTCTGCATGTGTGACTGGTTAATCCTTCATCGGTTGTGCACGCCTCTGTAAGTCTTCCTTTTAATTTTATTTACGCTAGGTTTGAAGTGGGTTTGTTGAAGAGGGATGTTACTGATGATGATGGGTGGGGAATAAGGGTGTGCAAGAATCCAAAATTCTGACTCCGGTCCGCCTCTGCCGGAATCGAAGTTAGAGTTATAGATCCTTTCCAAAAAAACTAACTCTGACTATGATTTTTACTAAATAATAATTTTACATAAATTATAAATAATCACTATCTAAGCCCACTGCCCAGGCCCACCAGGGACGGATTCAAGATTTTTTTTTTCGAGGGAGGCCAAATAGAGATGGAATGAGATATTTTAATTAAATGTGAGTTATTCAATAAAATTGTTAATGTCAAATTTTCAAATGTATAGAACCTATTCAAATAAATATCACACAAAACATTGTTGTATTTTTATTTCCAATAAAATCAGTAAAATTAATTGAAATTAGTCGAACCAATTCAACATTAAAATGAGATCAACTCATCACATAAGCAATGTAATCCCCGAGTACAACTAGATTTCATTGTACCTTTGAAAAATGGAGAGAGAGAGAGAGAGAGAGAAGGAGAGTAAATCTCTCGAATACATATTCTATAATGGTTTTAAACCATATATATATGGTGTGTGAATATATCATAGTTTGTCCTCTTAAATCTGACATTAATTTATTTTACCCCCAGATTATTGGTTCAAAAACATTGCACCATTAACTATTTAAAATAGTTCAAAATTAAAAGATTTGTAAAATACCAAGATTTATCAATGTATGCAAAATGGTTCAATGTGGTCAAATCAATAGTCAAGCATAAAATAAAATTAAGATTAATATAATTAAAGGGTATAAAGTATAATTTAAAGAATTTGAGGGACATATAAATTGTAATCAAAAACAAAATTTTAAAGGTATGATATATAATTTGCAAAACTTGAGGGGGCCATGGCCCCCCTAGGCCACAACTTAGTTCCGCCTCTGCAATTCACTCTCACATGACCCACATTTATTTTTCTTTATCTCTCTTTCTAGCTCTCTCTCAGCCTCTCTCTCTCACACACACACAGTTGAGTTGATGAAGAGCAGCCCTCCATCTCTCTCTAGTCGACAAGTAGATCTAAGATTTCACCAAACCAACACCAGCGAAGCTCTCTCAGATCTCCGGTTGAAGCTCTGTCAAATCTTCGATTGAAGTTAAGACAATAACTCTTTCTCTTTATGTTTATATATATGTATATACATTATATTTGTGGCCATGTTTATGTTTCTTCCTCTCCCTTTCTGTCTCTCTTAGACAACGAGGATGCTCTTAATCTCTCTCCCACACACATAGAGTTGAGTCACCAAACAACAGCCCTCCATCTCTCCGGTTGATTCTCAAATATATTGTGATAAATATTTGACAAATTTTTAATTTTTTAAAATTGTCTATTTTCGAAACTCTACTCCACCTCTGATAAGATAGAGTTGGAGGTGGAGTTATAGTAGTTCAAAGTCGGAGGTCAAATGTGTACTCTCCGACTTTGCCGAAGTCAAAGCCTAGCCCTAATAGGGAGGCGGGTTGTTAATGATGGTTGTGGGTGCGGCTTTGTAGATCTTTTTTGGCAGAGACCAACAGTGTGTGTGTGTGTGAGAGAGAGAGAGATACAACTAGGATGGAGGGTAATTTTGTCTTTTTAACTAATATTAGTAAACCCCAGTGTTTTGAAAAGCTCGCCTAGGCGAGAAGCGAGGCAAGGCAAGCTTATCTCGCCTGGAGGACCCCAGGCGAAACGAACTTGAGCGAAGCGAGAAAAAAACAAAAAAAAAGCGAAAAAGCGACGAAACGAAAAAAGCGAAAAAGTGAACGCTTTATTATAAGAGGCGATTCTGCTTCCCTTTTTTTTTTTTTCTGATTACAGGTTAGTAGTCTCTTTTATTTTTTAATCACTAATGACTTTTTTTTTAGACTATCACTGGTCTATTTTTTTTTTTTCTAATAAACAATATTTCGAACAAAACACATTCTTTTTTTTCCTTGTGTTGCTGAATTCATTTAGAATATTTGTGGAATGTGAGAGTCAGGCGACTGCATAATAAAATTATGATAAAGAAAAGAAGTAGGAGTATCAGGAATGGGGTAAATAATAGAGTCTTCTACAAATAAATGTCTCTGATATGTCTTGGTTATACTTTTCCCTTTTCTTATATATATACAAATGGTACTAAAAAAGTGGTTTATGCTTATATCATGTTTAATTATTTTAGTACATGTGAAATGTGCCTCTGTTCTGCTTTTTTTATTAGTACATAATTACATATGAAATTGTTTACAATTGATTCTGCTCCTGTCATGATCATTGTGCTTCTGTTTTTTTTTTAGCTCATTCTGCTTCTATTTTTTTTTGTTGATTCTGTTGCTGCTTCCGTTTTGCTGTCCTGTGCTGCTTCTGATTTTTTTTATCCTCATTCTGCTTCTTTTTTTTTTTTTGTTGATTCTGCTGCTGTCCTGATTCTGCTTCTTTTGTTGTCCTACCCTGTCAATATGAAAATGTATACAATTGTTAGTATTTGTTTGAATTTAAATGTTTAAGTTATGACTGTTATTAAGATTTGAGATATTATTAGTGTTTGTTTTAATTTAAATGTTTATGGTTTTACTTGCATTTAAATATTTAGTATATATAAAATTAGAACTTAGATTGTTTAGAAGTAATTAAACTAATATATATATATTTTTTAACTGTTCGCTTTGTTTCGGTGAAGCGTGTCGCTTCGTTTCTCGCTTCTCGCCTAGGCGTTAGGAGCCTTGGTCGCTTCGGTTCGCTTTACGCCTTAAATAACACTGGTAAACCCAACCTTCTATACTCCTAAATGGTATTATAATGCAAATGAAGGGACAAAATGGTAAAATTAGTTATTTCAATTCCACTACCCAATAGGGCATTCCAAACTGCTGGGTAGTTACATGTGAGAACCCAAAATCAAGAAGGAAAAGAATTGAAAGAGCACTAATATACCCTGGTCCCTGGATAGGTTTATTAGAGACCTAATAGGAAGTATAGGGTTCCGACAGTGTTTGAATAGTCATGGGTGTCTATTTTATCTTTATCTTATCAATTCCTCACCCAATAAATAGCGTCGAGTACAACTTAATTAGTTACCAAATTGTCAGATTATTAAGCATCGAAATAGCTTTTTGGTTCATGGATATCAATATGGTGTATCGACGTAAGTACATTGTATTGAACCACATATATCTTTTGGTTTTGTTTTATTATTTTTCCTATCCGTATCTCCCAACAAGTGGTATCCATGTTGAGTAATCACTACACAAAACTAGTAGTGGCATCAGAGCAAACTGTTGACAATCATGGGTCAACTTTATCAGATCAAATTGACGATCATAGAGCAACTATCAAAGCAAAAATATAGGTGATTCTTGTTCAGCAACAAGACTTGTTTCTGTTATGTCATCTTCTTCATGCCTTTTCACAGTAGAGGTTCTTGGTGTTCAACACTTTTTGATTGCAGTAAGCAATCAAAAAGGAGAGGCTCCTCTAGCCAGGTGTGTACAACGTCGTGCGAAGATTGATTTCGTCTTGTGTACATTAAGGAAGTAATCTTAGAATTTTTTGATGAAGTGTATGGATCCTGAATGAATATCATCAAAACATCTGACTGCTGAATTGTTGTAGAACTCAAGCAATGTAGTGTACCAATTTTGAAGATGGTTCTTCAAGAATTTGGGCTCTTACAACTATAACCATGTTAAGACAATGGTTTGGGAGATACAGGGTCGATACCCGCTCAATATTGATTTGGTGTCTTCTAGGTTTAGGGGTTACAAGACTTTTTACTTTGATAGATTGATGAAGTAGTTTACCACTGAGTCCTCCCAAGAATAGGTAAGATGCGGGCTGAAACGCATAGAAGACGTGGGCTAAGACGAAGGATCTTGAAATATAGAGAGGATTGTAGTAGACTCATAAGAGAGGATTTGCAAGTGATACTTGAAGAGAGTAAGTGGATCAAGATCAATGGGGAGCTAAACTTGATGTGCTTCACACGAGGGGGAATTTGTTGAGTAACTACATGTTAAACCCCCAATCAAAGAGGAAAAGTACATCAGATTGGTTTATTAGTGACTTGATATTAAATATACAGATCCGATAGTGTTTGAATAGTCATTAGTCATGAGTGACTATTTTATCTTTACCTTATCAATTCTTTACTCTACAAATGGGGTTTGAATACATTGTCATCAATTACCAGATTGTCAGACAAAAAGCACTGATATAACTTTTTTGTCTATATATGTAGATATGGTACACCGATGCAAGTACATTGTACCTAACTACGTATATCCTTTTGTTTTCTTGAATTGTTTTTCCTATCTCCCACCAATGGTATCAATGGTGATTAATCGCTGCACAAAACCAACACAAACTATCTGATGCTCTCTACCAGGGGCGGAGCCAGATATCCATATTAGTGGGGGCAAAAATATGAGCAAAAAATTTAACCAAATGGTATTAAAAAAAAAATCTTTCGAATATCTGTTAAAAACGATTGAATTGAGGGTTATTTTCAACTGAAGAATTCTTAAGCTAAAATATACAAAAAATATTAAGATCTAAAATTTAACTATTGCGTGAAAATTAAGAAATCAATATCAATCTAGACGATATTGTCTGTGGTAAATATGTATGCGTAAGGGTATTTTACATTTATTTTACTCAATTGAAATATATGTCTTCGTAGATTAATTAAGGGAGCGAGTGGACCACTGACAATACCAAAAAACAACACATAAACTTTTGAATTTATGAGGGGCAACATTCTTTAAAGTTTTGAACCTATAACAATATATGGACTTTTGCTCAAAATTCAGTGGCCGCAACTGCCCCCAGCCCTTAACATGTAGCTCCACCCCTGCTCTCTACTTTCTTACTTCTTGGGCAACAATTCACATGTATTGGGTGTTTGTGTTTTGAATGACGTCAAACTATTTGTATGACATGTAATTTAGTAATTTACATGTGGCATGTGGCTTTTAAAACTAAATTTAGTAATATGTAATTGCATCAAAGATTGGTTATAATAGCTATAGTGTGAGATCCATACCTATATGCCTTTTTTAATTCTAAAACAGAAGTAGGGAAAATAAAAATGTAATGATAAAGGAGAAGGAAAAGCATAAGGAAAGAAAAATTACATTGATTGAACTTTGATGAACTTGAAATGCAGCCATGTATAGGATTCTCTATGTCCCCACCACTATGTTGGTCTGCAAGATTTTCCAACTGTGCAGGAATACCTATATGACAGAAGAAAATGTTAATGTAAGTATGCTTATGCAAAACGAAGGTTACAGAATAAAAGGTTAGTCTAATGCTCTTTCAAACACAAACTACTCAATAGAGTATAAATTTATAGTCTTGTTAATAATATTTCCATTGTTGATGCCAAAATTAGATCACAAGGAGGACATGCGTATGAGTATGACTACTACACAATCAAATGTGAGAAAAGAAAAGCAGAATGCTGAACCCGCCAGAGATACCGATATACTGGCAGGTTGAGGATCTCTGACACTCATGATAAATAGAAGTGACACATAGGGCTACAGGAAACACCAACTCTTGCATGCTTCATGAATTTAGAAATAGGGGAGTGGGTAGAAGTTATAAAAACAGACTCTGATCTGTGTATTTGCTTATGCTTGCATCTCATACCTGTGTAATGTAGACATAATACCTTTATTTAGGAGTTGCCATACGGTTTTTTACTAGATGATACCTTTGGTTTTTGATTGGTTCAGCTGCGTGGTGCCAGTTTGTAGTGGTTAAATGAAAACCAGAATCTGTTGGAGGAGGGAATCCCCTGCGATTGGTGCAACATACTGGTGATGTGTTAGTAGTGGTCAAATAAAGGCCAAAATCGTGTATTAGTAGTCATCCTTTCGAAGTGTTTGAATATACGAGGTTGCATGTCGTAGTGGCAGAGAATAGAAATTTCCCCTTATGACTAGAGGACATAAATGTGGTAATCTGACCATTAGGGAGCTGCCTACTCATTTTCGTACTAAAAATGTCTGCTCACCTCACCTCGTCTGTTAGCACAATCCGAGATAGAGAGACACGAGCAGGATTCCAGGACAGGAGCATCCCATAAAATCCAACATCTTGTATTATCTTGCCTGCTTCAATAGGCATCCATTATATAAAGGGGATGAACCTTCATAGCTAAGGTGTGCAATACACGCTTGTTTTTCAGCCATCAGACCCTAATGTTCCTCTTTATAATATTAGGTTCTTTTACTGAATTCAGTATCAGTGAGTCTTTATCGGCTCATACCAACGACAAGCCTCAGCACTCCTTTGACCAGTTTCTATATTGCAGATCATGTGAGAGCCATCAGCCATTACCAATCATTAGGTATAACTAGTCTTTAACATCAACAATTTGACAATGTATGTGAAAGACAAATTGTCATTGTTTTCATATCAATCAAACCACATCATCAGCAAGACGGCTCTCTCAAATCAACCCAGGCCCTCTAAAAATCTGAAATACATTTCTAGGACCTCATTTGCTCCTGCTAAAACAAGGAAGTCAACAATCAAAAAATTCTCCCAGGTTTGTGATCCACCGGTGCAAGTTGCGCTCTTAATATAAGAACCAGCATTCAATTCCTCTAGCTAAAAATTTACTTAGCTGGATTAGAGAGAAAATGGAGGTCAGGATGCCAGGAATGCACGTCAAAATATCCATTACTGGTGAGCTCTGCCATCCATTTGATCAGTTTCTATCTTGCAGATAATGGGAGGGCCATCAGTCATTACAGATCATCAGATTTAACCACGTTTGGACATTGAGAACTGGTATATATATTAGAATTATATACAACATCAAATCATACTTAGAAAATTTAGGATGTGACCAAAAAAAAGGTAAAGAAGTTAATATGCAAACAGTGTTCAAAGAAGAAATATTTGCATAATAAGAAACACAAAGAGGAAAAAGATTGAAAGACTAACAATTGTAGATCAATCTTTGCCAGGGTTTTAAGTGTGCTCCACTTCGGAAAGCATAATGTTTTACTGTAAGTGATTGCAAAGGAGAAGGATCCCAATGTGCCAACTTAGGGCAGCACTTAACCAAAGTGAAAGCCAGGTCTGTAACATTGATAGGAAAGACAAAAGATTAATGAGAAATCAATCACCATATTAGCTTTCTTTCTGGCACATTAAATAATTTTTAATTAGTATTAAATATATAATAGCCAAAAAATGATGAAATCATGTTGGTTTCTTATAAGTATTATTCTTCATTTAGTGTTTAAAACCTGCTACTCACCATAATATCCGTAAGTTATCAGGGCATGAACTAGTCTAACACCTGATTCATCCTCGAATGGCTTCGGCTCCATGTTTGCGTTGGTAACCGTCATTAAGTAGAGAAACATCTCCCGTTTGCCGCAAGCTGCAGCTGAATGAAGAGGTAGTGAGTTACTATTGTCCAAAATATTAGGCAGGTCAGAGTTCTTATTCACTAGCAACTTGGCTGCCTCGATGTTGCCAGCTATTGCAGCTATATGAAGAGCTGTTGAGCCATCTTCATCAACGAAAGCCAGATCGGTTGTTGACATATGCTCCACCAGCTTCTTTAGAAAATGGGTTTTCTTTGGTGATCTAATCGCCACAAACAAAGCCCTTTCTGAGGTTCCGGTGATTATTGCCTTGAAAGCTTTTGGATCTTGTTCCAAAATTGTGCTGGCTGTCTCCCAGTCACCTTGGAGTGCCGCTTCGTACAGAGGCAGGTAATGGCCAAGATCTTTCCCAGATGCTGTGTTTTCCCCTGTCATCAATCACGTATGAACCAAAAAAAAAACAAGTTTGCTCAAACATAACTTTGGATTGCTTCTATTTCCACAAACCTTCAATCCCTGACCCAGAGTCAGGATCATAGAACCAAAGCCAGCAAGGGTCAAGGCACCCTGAATTTATTTATTTATTTTTTTCAAATAATTGTAAGTATATTTAAGTGCCCCCACTCTATCATTTTTTGTTCTATCAATTAGTATAGCCACATAACTAAATAACTATAAACTTTTGGACGCATTTAGATACTTTATGGATATATTAAGATAAATTTTTGACATGTCCGACTTATTTTTTGAGCTATAGAGATAATGAAAACTAGGTTGCATAACTGAATAAGGGATCAATGGTTAATTGTTTAATTGGTTATATAGAGAAAGACTAATATCTTTTACGCAATTAGTCTAATTTGTTGTGAAGGGTTGTAATTAGCCTTTTTTTTAATTTTTTTTTGTATATGTTATATTTATCGACATTTAACACTTTTTGTATCTTATGAATCTATAAGTATCAAAGACAATGCAATAAATTTCAATATATCATGCATTTTTTAATACACGCTTCAAATTAAGCTACCAGAGACAATAATTGATTTAGGTGGTGAGATTTGATGATGACAAATTAAAGACAATACCATATGAGTATACATAAATAAAAAGCATATATAGCAACAATTTGTTTTTGGTAAACTATAACCACACACCCTTAAAAAAAAAAACTATAACCACACACTCAACACTCAACAGGTTTGAAATTCATGTCATTCGTTGACTATATAACACCCACCCACAACCACATTCCCAGCTATCAAATCCACTGAAGGTTTCCACATTCTAACCCATTTCTAAATTAAGTTTCAGTTCAGTTCCAATTAAAATAGCCAATTTCCAGCAAACAATACATTGCCATTATTTTCCACAACAAATCATCAAAGCTCAAGAAACTTACATTACTCTATAGGGCAAAAGATGACAGCTGGTATGAGAAAGAGATGGACTATTGTAAGGTATAGTGAGGTTGATGATGGTCTTCCGGCCCATCCAAGCGAAGGGCTGATTAGGATTTTTAAGGTTGGTGAGGTGATAGGAGAGATTTGGGTCCTTGTTGACGATTAAGTTTGACTTAGTTTCCACCTCCATGAGGGCTTTAAAGGCAGAAGATAGGGTGGGGGCTCAACCAAGCTGGGACTCGCACCGTTATGTAACTCTTGTGAAGCACACTTGCAGTGGTGACACGGTGGCACTCAAGTCGGTGATGGGCGATGGGTTTCGTTTTCGCGGCGGAGGAGAGGTGGTGCTACAGGGGATTAAGCGCAGGCAAACGGGGTTGTTCTCTCTCTCTCTCTCTCTCTAACTTGTTGTTGGGCAAATTACACTTCAACACCGTTAACCACTGACTCTATTCTATTTTGTCCAACAAATTACACTTCAACACCGTTAACTGCTGACTCTATTCTATTTTGTCCCTAAAACTGTTGTAGTTTCTGTATTACTCCTCAAGTCCCAATTATAAATATCCGCTAACTTTTCAATGGAAATTATCTACGTGTCCGGAAAGAGTTCGGTACCGAAGTTGGTGAGAAAATATTCCTTACATACCATGTGGTAAAGTAACGTGCTATCACTAACTTATGATACTAAAACAAATAAGCATATAAACTCTACAAACATCAATAACTAACATATCATGTAAGCAAAACTTCTCAGCCTCCTATCATGTAAACTTAAGTGGGGTTCAATTTTTTTATTTAGGGTTTTATTATTGGTTGGTAATACCATGTCATCAATGGTAACATGATATCACCGTTGAATTCAATATTTACTCGAAGTTGGAATGGTATCAAAATTTATAATTTTTTAATGTCAAGTTAAGATCTTTTAAAATATAAGTTACGATTATAAAAAGTATGATCGATCCTAAATATTATGATCGATTATGCAAATTATAACTTTTAAAGATAAAATTATAATTTTTAAAGGTTAAATTTTGTCTTTGAAAATGAAATTACAATTGATTAAAGCATCTATAATCATGACTCAAATTTAGATTTAATTACACTCGACTATTTTTGCCCCCCTGCCCCAAGTCCTGGTAGTGATTTGGGATTGAGGGCATGAGTGAGCTCCTTTTTTTGGATAGAACAGATGTCTTGTTCCATATGGTGGCTTCCCCTCCTCCTAGAAGAGGTGAGATCTAATGCCCCAATACTTCCCATCTGAGGTTTGGCGGTCCTATTGTTTCTTCAGAAGGCGGGTTTTGATGCTCCTAGCACTTCACATAATTATCTTGTTTCTAGCAATGACCTGGTATCCCCTGTTGCAGGATGTAAATTTTGGCTAAGGAGAGGCTTTGAAAGTTTGTGACACCCTTGGATATCAGCTCTCAGGGTCTTGAGGATATCATCGATACTGAGATAGAGGACTTTGCTATGATACCCCCACTGTTATGTGGAACCCTCTGTTTGTATGCTTGGTCATGCTAACATTCTGGCTTTTAGAAATTTACAGATGGCTATGGCTTTTTCATACTTTTGAGGGCGCTCAAACTCAACGAGGTGTCGAGAGCCTTAGTGGAGGAGAGACCTGGACACCAGGCTGCAATTGAGGTTGGTTCATGAGAAAGCAACAACTCTCGAGGTTGAGCTTCTAGAGAACGAGGTTGTTTTGCGTATAAGCACAAGTTGAGTTAGGCCAAGCTTCTGGGAGACCAAGGCTGCTTTAGAGCAGAGATAAAATTAAACCAAGTTTTTGGTGACTTGTGAGAGCCGCTAAGTTGGAGACATAGGTTACCTTCTTGAGAGTAGACCAGAGAAAGACCAAACTTTCAACAACTCGCGAGAGAGCCACTAAGTTGGAGACATAGGCTGCCTGCTTGAAAGCAGAATAGAAATAGGCCAAGCTTTTGGCGACCCGCGAGAGAGCTGCTAAGCTAGAGACATAGGCTTCTTGCTTGAGACCGAAGTAGAGATAGGTCAAGCTTTTGGCAACTCTCGTGAGAGCCTCTAAGTTGGATGGATACACTGTTTGCTTGAGAGTAGAATAGAGATAGCTCAAACTTTTGGCGATCCACGAGAGAGCTGCTAAACTGGAGACACAGGCTACTAAGTTAGAGACACAGATTGCTTACTTCAGAGCAAAACAAAGATAGGTCAAGTTTTTAACGACTCTCGTGAGAGCCACTAAGTTGGAGATATAAGTTGTCTTCTTAAGAGCAGAACAGAGATAGGCCAAGAATTTGGTGACCCGCGAGAGAGCTGCTAAGCTGGAGATATAGGCTACTTGCATGAGAGCAGAGACAAAGATAGGCCAAGATTTTTGACGACTCTCGTGAGAGTCACTAAGCTGGAGATTGAGACATGGGCGCTGGGTGAGGTCGACGAGGGGCGCTGGGTACAGACGCCTAGGGGAGCCCTCCCTTTACCTATTTGACTATCAGTTGTGAGTCACTATAGGCGATCAGGCATTGCGAGATTCAAGCCTGATTTAAGGGCCTCATATTCATCTTGGCTGTTGGATGTTGCAAAGTGGAGAGAAACAATGTACGTGAGTGGAGTGCCATGGGGGTTGATCAACACTAGTTCTGCGTCGTCGTCCTCGCTGATGGAGGACCCAGCCATGTATAGTCTCCAACATGGTACAGTATATGGTAGCGAGGGTGTAGAGGGCTCCCATGGAGTAGGCACAAAGGAGTCGAGTGCCTCTAGTCTCGGAGTGTGGTCTCCCGAAGTTTGTGGAGCTATCTCCAAGATGTCGGGCTTTCTCGGGATAATTAGTGTATGAGCTTGTGTGCGGAGGCATTATGCACTGAGCAGGTGAGCGCAGGGGCGTGTGACATTTTCTCCCGGGGTCCCTATGGTGGTGTAGACTCCCGGGACTCCCATGGTGGTGTAGACTCACAGGATTCCCATGCATGAGAGTAGAGGCAGAGTGAGATTGAGCTTTTTGACGACTTGTGAGAAAGACGTTGAGCTGGAGATATAAACTACTTGAGAGCAGAGGCAGGATTAGACCAAACTTCTTGGTGACTCGCGAGAGAGTGCGAAGCTAGAGATATAGACTGCTTGAGAGTAGAGGCAGGATTAGGTCGAGCTTCCTAGCGACTCGTGAGAGAGTTCGAAGTTATAGATATAGGGTGCTTACATGAGAGCACTATTGGGCACTGAGGCATGGGTGGAACTGGGCCTTCCCTGGTTAAATTCAAGGATTCCAATTAGCTTGAGAATCAGTTCAACACTACAATCCATGAAAGGCCAAAGAACAGATGTTTTAGAGGTTGATTCTTATTCTTGCTACCTGCTCGATTTTGACCACCTTGTACAGACAAAGATGATGGCGAGGGAGTTTCGGTAAACCTACAAGATAAGAGAAAATCTAGGTGACCCAATGGCTAGAGGTAGCCAAAGGGACTCCAATGCTTAAGTCAGTAAACAAGTCGAAGAAAAAGTAGATGGTGAACAGGCTAGAATTGCATAACATACATGACACTCGGAACCTTTATTTATAATGGTATAGGAAGCGGTGTTCCACATGGACTTGAATTTCAGGTTGTCATAGGATAGACCTCATCACCAATCCCCTAGACATTCGAGGTAGAGTCGTATTAGGACATTGAGTCCTAGACTGTAGGATGAGATGTGCTCGCCAAAAGGTATTGTTTATCAACAGTCCCTTGATACTCAAAGCAGAGTTTCAATAGGTTTCTAGGTCCCGGGTTAATCCTTAGCTAAGTAACAAGTGGGTGCCGCTAGGCGCTAAAGACGCAGAGGGGTGTTGGGTGTCGTTGGGCACGGTCGCCAAGGGGCGCTGGGCACTGCTAGGCATGGATGCCAAGGGGGCGCTGGGCACTGCTACGCACAGACGCTGAGGTGCATTGGGCTTGGTGGCACCAAGGCAGGATCAAGGCTTGGTGATGCTTTGGGTCCACATGGCGAGCTAAGCGACGTCAACAGTGGATACGGTTCTAGTGTATATCCTAGGCATGGCAGCGCCATCCATTGCATGGAGATGGACGACGCTGAAGCTGGCAGAGGCCAGGGTGATGATAGAGTGGCCGAATTTGGCGACAACTGGATGGGTATGAGCTTTAACAAGCTAGGCCCTGGGCGTGTTGGGCTCGATGGGCACTGATCCACGTGGAAAACTGGGCAAGGCAAGAGGGTTAGGTGATGCCCTTAGCGTCATAACTGGCTTTGGCGACACCGATGGTGACTTGGGCAACGCTCTTTACACAAACGTTGTTTATGTAGGAGGTCGTAGTGTGGGTGACGTCTTGGACCTGGGTAGTAGTGCCAACGACGTGCGTGGTCTTTGCAGTGCTCTAGGAGGCTTCAATGGCGTGCGTGACATCGATAATGCGCTAGGCGATGCTGTACAGGACTGCAGGCTGGACGAGCAGGCACTTGAGTGTTGGGGCGCTAAGGATTTAAGCTACTCCTAGGGGCAACGATTGGATGGGTGCGAGCTTCAACAACCTGGGCAATTCGCTAGCGTGTTGGCGCTATGGGCATTGATCCACATGGCAAACTAGGCAAGGCTGGAAAGTTAGGCGACGCCCTAGCGTCATAGATGGCTTTGGGGACGCCGATGGTGACCTGGGCAGTGCTCCTTTCAGAGGCATTGTTTATGTAGGAGGTCGTAGTGTGGGTGACATCCTGGACCTCAGTAGTAGCGCCAAAGGCGTGCGTAGCCTTTGCAGTGCTCCAGGTGGCTTCAACGACGTGCATGACATCGATAGTGCGCTAGGCGATGCTGCACTGGACAACAGGCTTGGCGATGCCAGACTGCCAAGCTAGGCGAACAGGCGTTTGAGCACTAGGGCGTTGAGGATTTGAGCTACTAGGGGCGACGTTGGTGGGCCGACGATGCCATTAGCCAATGTGCAATGGGTGATGCAGATGGAGCAAGTGGGCGATGCTAGGCTATGCAGCGCATGGGAGTACGTGGGTTGCTCTAAGCTAGACAACACTTGGACGACGCCTGGGAGCATGTGATCGGCGCCAGGCTATGTAGCGCCAGCTGGGCGACGCTTGGGAGCATGTGAGCGGCGCCAGGCTATGCAGTGCTAGCTGGGCGACGCCTGGGAGCATGTGGGTTATGCCAGGCTAGGTAGAGCCAGCTGGGTGACGTTGGAGAGCAAGTGGGTGTCTCTAGGCCTGGGCACTAGGCGCTAGCCTTGGCTGGGTGACGCCTAGGTACGTCTGGACAATGCCATGGTTCGGCGTGGGATAGTATGGGCAACACCCAGGGCTGGTTGGCAAGCAAGTACTGTCTTTGAGATGCTCAGCGTTGGGTGGAGTACTAGACAATGATAAAGAAATGACGAAACTTCGAACAACCATAACTTTGCGCTTGATTGTCTATTATAAGCGAATTTTTTTTTTAATTCAGGTATTTTTTCGAGATCTACAACATAAAAATTGCCAAAGGTGGTTTGGGCAACAAATTTTCCTAAAAAAAATTCTTCTTTCTCTTTGAATTTGAGTTTTTGACCCCAAATTAGTGAAAAAGATTTTCCTTCTTTGGATAATTTAGAAATTCATATTACAAAGGATATTAAGCTAGATCAATGAGTTTACAACTCCACCTCATCAGACCAAGTTGCGGGTATATGGATTGAAGGAAATAATCCTAATGTTCCTCTAGAAAGAGATATCATCGTACTTGCACACTTTGGTCGCAGACATGGAGTTAAACATTATTTTGAGTGCTATGATCCATTACAATATCATCTGCTATTTCCCAAAGGAGAGGTTGGATGACATCAGAATATCAAAAAAAAAATGATTATCGCAATGGTGCTTCTAACAGAGATACAACTAGTTCAACAAGCGCTACATTCATCTCCGTAGAAAATATCTTTGATTTTTGTAATGGTGCTTCTAACAGAGATACAACTAGTTCAACAAGCGCTACATTCACATCAGTAACAAATATAATAATACTCGAATAGCATACCTCATGCTAATAGGAAATTGGGGGAGTAAAAAGTATATCTAAAACAAATGAAGAAAAGGACATTTGGCTAATCCTTCATTTGAGCACCATATGAGAGTTCAGGGGAAACTGCCAAGGGAGATTTAGAAAGGACACAAAAACAAAAGGAAAATAAGTTCAAGATAAAATGAAACTAGAAGGGTGACCTTCAGACGTTTATATAGCAAGAACAGTTGCGCTATTCAGCTTTTTCACATAAGTTCATTTATTAGTTATTAATTAACCCAAATAAATGAGGGGACATTGTTTGGACCAAATTCTACATTTTTGGTGAATAGGTTATTAGGGATGAATGACATATGTCCAACAAAAAGGTTAGCCAAGAAGAATTACCACATGACATTCATTTCATAAAAAAAAATAGACATTCAACCGGTTGATGTAGCCTGTTCAAATTCAAGGATAATTATAACCCTTGTAAGAGCATCTCCAACAATGCTATCTAAAATAGATACTCAAAATATATTTAAATATTGTATTATCTACTTTAGCTAACTATTTTTTCAAACTCACTCCAACAACGCTATCTATTTTAGCTAACTACTTCAACGAACTTTAACTAACTTTGAATAATAAAATCTAAAATACTATTTAGTATGTCATGTCATCACTATATTGATGACATCACATGCTGACGTGTTACGCCACGTCATCGAAATTTTAAAATTTTAATTTTTATTAATAACGGTCACGAAATTCAAAATTTTAAAATTTGAGTTTTTCAACGGTCATATTTTGCAACGGTTATATTTACAATGGTCATATTTGCAACGGTCATATTTTTGGATATGTATAAATAGGATCTTCCATCTCTCATTGTCATACACCTCAAATCTATTTTTTCTCATTGCACTCTTCTTTGTGTTTATGTTATGGCTTGCTATCCTGTAATGTACATGATTCTTAACAATTCTAGCTCCGATGATGAATTGGAGATGATAACAATTTATGCTATTGAAATGAACAAACTCAATAGCGAGGAAAGCTCTAGTGTACGTCGTGGTTCCATTCAAAGTCATTCAGTTAATTTTTGCAATCGAGTTCAAGGCCATGAGCCACTGTATTGTGATTATTTTGCTGAACCGCCTATCTATCCCACCAAATTTATTTCGAAAAAGGTTTCAGATGAATCGAACCCATTTTCTTTCGTATTATATCCAAGGTGGAAGATTATGATCCATATTTTGTCCAAAAAAAAATACTGCTGGAACTACTGGCTTCTCTTCCATTCAAAAGATGACAGTCGTCATAAGGATACTTGCTTATGGAGTTGCAGCAGATACTGTTTATGATTATGTGAGAATTGGCGAAAGCACCGCAATAGAAACTTTGAAAAAATTTGTGAGGGTGGTAGTAGCAATTGTTTCCAATGAATACCTCAGGTCACCAAACAACAATGACATTGCTAAATTATTAGCAATGGGTACCAACCGTGGATTTCCTAGGATGTTAGGTAGCATTGATTGTATGCATTGGAAATGAAAAAATTGTCCAACAGCATGAAAAGGTATGTATTTCGGTCACGTTTATGAACTAACAATTATTTTGGAGGCGGTGACTTCATATGATCTCTGGATTTGACATGCCTTTTTGGATTACCCAGATCTCATAATGATATCAACGTACTAGAACACTTTTTTTTTGTTTTGCTCTCCTTTCAGAAGGTTGGGCTCCTCCAGTCAATTTTTTAGTCAACGAAAACGATTATACAATGGGGTATTACTTTGCTGATGGTATATATCCAAAATGGGCAACATTTGTCAAAACTATTCCATCTCTAAGAGGCAATAAGCAAATACATTTTGCAAAATCTCAAGAGTCAGCAAGAAAGGATGTTGAGCGAGCATATGGAGTACTCCAAGCACGATTTGCTATAATGCATGGACCAGCACGTTTCCGGACAGCTGAAGTGCTTAAGGATATTAGGAAGGCATGCATAATATTACATAACATGATTGTCGAGGATGAGTTGAACGCAAATGAGTGGACTTTATTTATGATACAATAGATGAGAGTCTCATTGCCACAGTCATACCTGAATGGATTTCAGAACTACTACAATTTATTAATACTCAACATTGCATTAGAGACAGAGAAACTCATTCCAAACTCCAAGCTGATCTAGTAGAGCATTAGTGGAATATGCATGGAAACTACTAGGCATTACTTAAGCAAATGTTATTACAGTACTTTTTTGCAAATTCATTACTACTACATAAAGTTGTTTGTCTATCAATAGAAAAGTACTGCTTCTTCTTTCCCATGATTTTCATTTGGCGACATTGATAATATTTAGCTTGCAATGGAGGCATACAACTCGTATTCATCGACATTATTCGCTCTGCCTTTCTTACTTGCTCCATTTGCATTCTCTCTTTCTCTTGTAGTAGACGTTGTTGTTCTTGTAGTAGACATTGCTGTTCTTGAAGATAACATTTTTCAAACATTTCAAATTTCTTCTCATTCACTACATTTTTCTCTTCCTTCATATCTGCTAAAATATTAACTAGTTCAGAACTTGGTGCATCACCTTTAGCTTCTTTGCTCTTTGATTTTCGTAGTCGTGTTTTCTCATCTTTCCTTCCAAGTGGTCTGTCTAAGGATCCATAGGACCCACCGTCATCTCCTAAATTTACAGAGTCTGCTGTAGAAGGCATTGAGCTGCCATGAGTTGCATTATGTTTTATTTTTTGTTTCTTTGCTTGAGAATCCTTCATCCAGTTTGGTTGATACCTTAACTCATTCCAACAATGTTCAAACGGAAAAGAAGATTTATAGAGGTCCTTGTACATGTTCTTGGCAAAACGAATCTAAAAATTTTTACAACAAAACTCATTATCATGTCATTAAAAGTACACTATTTTATAAGAAAATATTCATTTATACTTTGTCTTTCTCTATCAAACCACTTTGATTCAATCTTTCTATATGTGCAAAGCACCCACAAAATTTGTTGGTGGCTAATTGAATTGCCGACCAACGATTCATCAAAGAATTTTGACTACGACTAGAGCATGAATTAGGTTTGTATTCGTGGAAGAACTCTTAAACTCGTTCCCAATATGTCTTTAATTTTTCTCATTTCCTTGCACAACATCCAAACTAATCTTGAGTCACACTGAGATTATCAAAATGTCTTTCTCTAATGTAAAATTATCACCTCGTTGTTTTTTGGTGGTGGATTCTACTTGAGTAGATATTGGTGAAGATTGACCTATAACCTCATCATCTAAATTTGTTCCATCATGCATAAGATTGGTAAAGTATGCATCATGTTGGAATGGATCCATGAGTAATGCCTATAAGATGAGACAAGTACATACATTCAAGTGCCAATCAAGTAGCAGGGTTTCCCTTAGTGTGTTGAATCAAGTATGAATTGAAATAAGACACTGCTACTGGAAGCCTCATATATCAAAAGGCCAAGGATAAAAGCAATTCAACATGAATGCATGCATTTGAAGCACTTAGAGTTTTATCTCTATTCCTGTTTTTCTGCTGCACCATATCGTAAAATTGGAATTCAGTTCTTCTAGAACAAGCAAAATATTGAAAGCCCTCATCTTTGAGTTTTCATGGGAAAGACTAATTCAATGAAAACAAAAGTCAAAAGTGTATGAGCAAGCATTAAGCAATAACCACATACTAAAATAAAGTAAAACCTAAATTAAAAGAAGCATCCTCATTTGAACTTATTGATAAGCACAAACTGTAGTGGAATACATATCTTAGTACATGTCTAAAATAGTTAACCATTCAATTTCAAAAGCTATCATGCCTCTCAGCCCAACATATACCC